GCAGACTTTCGTGTTCTCGATTTGACGTCACATTACCCACTAGAGCCATTCCTCTTTAAACTCGGTCGTGGGGCAAGATGGCGGCCGATTTTCCGTATTTTGACTGGGCATAGAAAATTGAAGATTTGAGCAAATAAAAAAATTTTTGCGCAGAAATACTCAAAAAAATAAGCTTACTTCGTTAAGCGAAAAAATTTTTTGAGTGTAGGTGCACTTTAAACACTGCTGAATCGAACAAGAAACTTGAGATCGATGAGGATGAAGTGAAGAGACAAATGTTTAAGCGAAATTTCCATGATTGTTAAATTGTTCATCGATGTCTTCACGATGTCTTAGTCACATGTAAAGCATGTAATAATGTTCAAATCTGGTTCAATCACGTCGCTTTCAGTGTTGTTAAATCGCAAATAAATGGTGTTATTGGAATAGTCCGCCATATTGGAATAGCCGACAATTTCCGATAAGCGCCCGACTCGAAAACTCGTCACTAGTGCTCCTCGGGCGTACCTCTAGCTGATAGGATTTGGGCACAACCTACAACCTGGGGGGAGGGGAAGAACTACGAGAACCACGAGAACCAGAAGAACCAGAGAACCACGGGAACCACGAGAACCAAGAAAACCACGAGAAGCACAAGAACCAAGAGAACCACAAGAACCAGAGAACTATCGAGATCTTCACAGTTACCGTGACTCAGAGTTATATTTATTTGAAGTTTGATAGTGCGCAACTCATGACGTCAGCTGTGGCTATTACACCGGGCATCAGCCGGAAACCTTAAAAAGCGATTCTCGGGTGAAAGTAGACGACGTGGAGTCCGTCCTTTTCGGCGAAGTTTGTCATGCGATTAGAAAAAATCAGCGGAAACAAAATTGAAGTTAGCGTGCCGCGTAGACCTCTGGGTTTGAGTCGCATCTTATACCCAGAGTTCCGCACAATACTCGTAGTCTGGGTTCAACAAGATTAACTTTTGGGAAAATCCGCCGACCGACCCATAAAGCTTTGGCACATTCTAATCTTGCGTGCACGTGTAAGGTCTAGACTGCAGAGAAATTGTCACAATTTTAAACTGTTTGTTGAATACCAGCGTCTGTATAAACAGTTGCTGAGATTAAAGATCAGCAAAATTTTCTGAGGGATCATAAATGCACTCGAAGAAGGAGTGCATGCATAGGGTTTGTGCACACGTTGCGCATATGAGCCGCTCAGATATAAATACTTTTTGAGGGCGGGAAGCTTTCCGGTGGTAGACCCCAAAGATAAAGCTGACCTGCTATTAACAAGAGTTTAATACGATGTCAGGTCTGTGAAATCGACATATTACCCCTTTTCAATAGCCCATTTGCGAATTGCCCGTGGCCTCTTTTTCAAAACGAGGACTGGTGCTCAACCATTCTTGTGAAAAGGAGTTAAATTTGCATGTGAATGAAAACTTGTTATCATATGAAAGGATGAGCACTAGGACTCGTTTTGAAAATGAGGCCAAGGGTAATTCAGAAATGGGCTATTTGTTTTCCAAGTTAGGAAATTCGTGGCTTTGTCTTTAAAACACAATTACAAGGATTGGGAATATTACGTAATTGTACTATAGTTTATATTTTATTTTCTAATAAACTCTGAATTAACGTCTTACTCTTCCAAGTGGTTACCGCGTTTATTGGTAAATTTGCTTCCATCTACGGCAGGTAATCGAGTATTGGCGTTACCTTGTTTGCTTTCCTAGAGCCACTGTTGGTGTTGATCGAATATGTTCCTTTTGGGGATCTGTTGGGTTACCTGAGAAAGAGCCGTGGATTAAATGATAATTACTACAAACACCCGGATATCGAACCAAAAACAAATCTAACGTCACAGCAGCTGATGAAGTTTGCTTGGCAAATTGCTGATGGGATGTCCTATTTGTCATCGATACCAGTGAGTGATAGAGTTCCTCTTTGAGTTATGTCTTTATAGAATAAGGCCCCATTTGGTACTCAACGTACCTCACTCTTTTACTGACTCCTGGACTCATTCCGTAGTATATAATCGCACATCAGCTGAGTCACCCAAGTCTCTTACTTCGTAGAAGGCATTTTCCAATACTAAAGTTTTCACTCTGTCGAAGGTTATTCATCGAGATCTTGCAGCTCGTAATGTGTTGGTTGGAGAAGAGGAAACGTGCAAAGTGACGGACTTTGGAATGGCCAGAGATGTGCAAGTGGACAACATTTACGAAAGAAAAACCAGGGTATGAGAAATGTGCGAAGCGAGAAAGCTGCGAAATACGATACCTTTGGTTGTTTAATAGAATGATGGAACGGAGGAATGGGGGATGAGCGGAATGGCGGAATATTTTAAAATGCAGAATGACGGAATATCCCAAAACGTATATCTCAAAACATGGATGGCAATAGAATAAAAAAAAATTGTTTTCATTGAACAGACGAAATAGAAAGAAGCATAGATAATCAATGCTCGAGCCTAGAGGTTAAGGGAACCATGAGGCTTTCGAGGAAGTCCCTTCAAATTACTACTACTATTGCTATGATGATTATCATTGTAAATGTTATTATTTGAACCCATTTAATTATGTGTTGAATGTCTATTACACAATATATTCTTGAATCATATTTGTCCTGTGGAACAGCGTACTCATAAATATGTGGATTGCGGCAAGTTTTCTGTTTTGCATGTGAGACCATTATTCTGCAACACTATCTTCTCGCGCCTGATACAACTTTGAGTTGTTGTTAATGCAGCATAAAGTGTGCTCTACGAGTAGCCACATGCAGTCTTTGATTGTTTATTTATTTGTAAAAGTCTAAATGTTTTTTTGAGCCTTAAATTATGTGGCTTAAGAGGCCTCTCTGGAGTGACTGCGTAAAGAAAACAAACTCAGTCAGTTTTCAGGAAGTTTCGTTCTAGTTTTTAAGAAATAAGCCAAGTCTTTGTATTTTTGCTTTTTGTTCAGGGACGTCTTCCCGTAAAATGGACCGCCATTGAGGCGTTGCTTTACGGAAAATATTCGACGAAGAGTGATGTGTGAGTACAAGGACGACATAAACACTGCATTTGGGCTTAATGAGAGTGGTTTTTTATGAACTAATTTTTGCATTATGTCATGGGATCAACTCCTATGACACGTTTACTCTGTCCCTCTTCTCTTCTCCCTCCGTTCCTCACCTATGATGTTTGAATTAATGTTTTGGCAGGCAAGAACTGTTATTTCTTTTAATTCATCCCGTTTTTTTTTTTTTTTTACAGGTGGAGCTACGGAGTTCTCCTCTATGAGATTTTTACGATTGGTAAGTGATCATATCTGGGGTATTTTAAGTTTCGGTCATGTGTATCATAACTGTCGAGGTACCTCAGATTGCTACAGTCGTTAAACGTTGGCGGAAAAATTAACGAACAGTGATAGTGTTCTGTGAAAATATTTTTGCATATTTAGGGCCTTTCATTTAAGAGTATGTTGACCTTGGATGTTCTAATTCAGGTGGTTCACCTTATCCACGAATGGATGGAAGAAAAATCGCGAACTCACTTCAAGAGGGATACAGAATGCCTAAACCACAACATGTGGATGATAAGTTGTATGCTGATATCGTATTGCTGTTGTTGGTTTTTGTTTTATTTTCGAATAGCTTTTATCGAACAATAGTATTTGTCTATCTCTGTCCGAATAACATGTGTGCCTCAAGATTCGCCATCTTTACTTGTTGAACCAGCCAAACGAAGGGAATTGAAAGAAGTAGTACATTATCACGAGTTTTTAACTGGAATTACTATATACCTTTTTTCTTTTATTTAATAAGAAGATTAAAATTGTCAAGGAAACTTGTTGAGCAAGGATAGGTTGAACCGTCTCTGATTAAAACTTTTCGCAGCATTTCCCGCACCAATGACGCCTCGCCTAGGCCAGCAGTGACATAATAAAAGGACATCTGTGCCAAAACAAACAAAAATGAATCTTTTTTGTGGCCAGGCTCAAAAATTCAAATTGTCTCTATTTTTGTACACAAGTAGCCCTTAGTAACGCAATAAACGCTATGTATTTTTTTCCTCGAATATGCTTTTTCGAGAAAAATGGACATTTTCCTTTTACCCTTTGGAATCCACCGATCGGGTCAGAACAGGTTGAAACTCAGCACTTTCGCTCGCTTCGCGTTTCTAAGATATTTATTCAAGGAGAAATCTAAGCAACGTGTAGTCTTTCAGACTCTTCTCTTCTGTAAAATGCAAGTTTTCTTGTCTTACAAGGGGCTACTTGAGTGGAAAGATAGAGATAATTTGAAGTTTTGCGCCTTGCCACAAAAATTTCATCTGTGTTGGACTTCCTAAGATATTCATGACATCCTTGTGTTTAAGGTATGAGATAATGACAAAATGTTGGAAAGACGACCCCAACTTGAGACCATCCTTTGAAAATTTGTGGAACAAACTCAGGGAAATGGAAAACCAGCACAAGGTACAATTGTAGAGTTTACAGAGGGAATATCTCTGTGTTTTTTTTCTTTTCAATGTGTAATAGTTGGAATCTACCATCCTGAAATTTACTCCATAACGCCGTCACCGTGGAGGCCTTGAATGGTAGTTCGTGGTTTCAATTTATTTCCCCTTTAGAGAAGTTTTCAATTGAGTATGGAAAGTATTCCTGAATTGCTTTGGATTTGTTAACTTCGCTCTGCGATCGGTCCAGAAAAATCCACGCCACCATTTCAACCAATCAAATGCGAAACTTGATAATGCTGTCGCATTAGATTAGTACAGCGGCATTTAGTTTAAATTTTGTTACCAGTCTTCGCTCGAACAAGTGACACATGTTTTCACTGTTCGAGACAAGGTTGTATCTCGGCCAACCTAAACGAATTTCAGGGCGTTAAATTTGCTTTGAGGATCTCATTGTCAACGATTTTACTCGTCATATATAAACGGAAAGACTAAACGGAAACGGAGGTCGATGTAACAAGGAACCTAAGGAGTGATTAAAGGCCGAGCGTTTTTAATCTTCAGGACAGTATTTATTACCGACAGTTACAAAACTAAAACCAGTCCCAGCTTGATCACACACGTCTTCCCGTGCCTCATTAATAAAGCAGGTTGCCTGATTTTACTTTAAGTTCTTATTCGTTAATGATACTGTTAGCCTTTGTTCTGATTGATAGTTCTAAATACTTTGGGTTTAGTCTATGCTCTATTTCAAGGTTGAACGAAACAAAAAAATTAAGAAATCATCGAGAACTTAACAGAGTATAGCATAAAATAATGCGGGTTTTTTTTTTCATCACGTTTTCTGTCGTTTCTTTTTTCTCTTATAGGGGCTGATAAACTTAAGAAATTACGACGATCGACTCTACGTTAATGTTGACGATATGGCCGAGTAAGCCAGCAAATTCTCCAGGCTGGAAAGGATGAAGTGATTATTATTGCAGCCTCCATTAGATCATCTTTTATTTTCCTCGTATGTTTTCTTAGTTATTTGCTGATTGATTTAAAAGCAACTCTAAAAATTAAGCTGATTAAAAGTAAAGCTTTATTGTTGCGCAACGAGCGCAGCGAGCGAGCAGCATCATAATCAGGATTTGAATTCTCGAATTCATCACTTATTACCAGAATGCATTGCAGCTTTTAACCAGAGTGCATTGTGCCACGATTGTTTTTTTTGGTGTGTTGCGTAACATAGCGTTACTACTGTAAGAACATTTCCTATATGTACTCAAAGGTTTTGTAAATCTACTTTCCGGAGTAAAGGCAAATTAATTAATCGCGATTATTGTATGGAAAATCTACAATCTTGACCACTGAATGAAGGACAGTTCATTAAGAGCAATGAAAGGAGTCACTTGATATGTACCTTGCGAAAGTTGACTCGCTGGTAAGCCGGAAAGCAAAAGGCAGTTGACCGATAGTGTTCATTGGGCCTGTGCGACTCCTGCCACTCGCTAGCGCTTTTAAATATTCTACCCTCAACATTTTTAATGTGACCGTAAAAGCTCTTATTAGGATATCTCTTAATGACTTTCCTTTGCGATGTAATAATAAGGGTTAGTTTTAAGATTTCACTTCCCCATCTGTATGTTCTTGACGTTTGGGAAAGGCGGATGAGATTGTGTTGCAAAAGGCAATATTTTCCTTTTGTGCGCGCCCTTTTCTCTATTTTTTGTATACTTTCTCTCCCTCAGAAAATGGCTTCAGAGATATGTTTCTCGATGTAAGTCCTGGAACACGCAGGTAGATATATCAATGCGAAATTATGTCATTATCAACAGAATGTGCCGCAGCATCACTGTCTTTTAGGTACATTAGTCGCACAATAGTATATATTTTTATATAGTTTTTTTTTATATATTTTTTCAATTTTAAGTCTGGAAAAGCCAAACGATTTTGTATACACGAGTCTCAAACCTGCACTTAGCGTTATACAGTTATATAACTTTTTTAGACAAAACATGCATTTTCTCTTAAAATGTGCCAAGAGATCCATGCAATAAATATCTGAATAGTATCTTAAAAGGTGTGATAATTGTTGTAGCCTCCGTATTGAAATTTGAAGATCTGAGATGTGCATGTACTTGGTCAGACCCAGCATCTGAGACCCAGGTGAAGTTTAACCGATTTTTTTTTTTTTAAGACGAGCGTCAGTAAGAGAAGTGGGACACATGAAATGTACGAGTTGCGTGTCTAATGCTAATTTCTTGCTCAGCTTAATAGGCGCGGAACCTTAATTGAAAAGCAGAACTCTCTGTACTGGGCACGAAGACTCGATATGTTCTTCTCGTTTTCTGCAAATAATGTCCCGTGTTAATCACTTCAGGTCCCCTTCGTGCAAAATGTAGTCTGGACATTCTTCTGCTGGGAAGTGGTCGTAAAAGCGAAATCGTTTGCATATTACGCCCACTTCACTTTGCGACCCCGAGCTCACTGCAGTCGAATATGATGAAAGTGTTAATAAAAGTTAATAAGTAACTTGTGTGGTATGTCAATTTTGGCGCGAAAATCTCGTAGTGGCCGACTTAATCTTATTCTGTCATAAAGCTCGGCCGCTCGCAATCATGGGAATGTCGCTTCGAGGACTTACAAATATAGGGAATACTTGTTTCTTGACGTTTAAAGGACATTAGCGACGTCTTTCACAAAGCGACAAAGTATAGGCAGGTACTGCGCACGTGACCGGGCTTTCGAATGCTCAAAATTGAGCAATATTCAACACCCCAGAACTAGTTGCGGTTTGCTCTCTTGACTTTGTATTTCAGTGCAGATTTCGAAATCAGCTGAAGTGCAACTAACTCTTGGTATAGCGACGCATTTTTCGCTTAAAAGTATGAAAACTGCGATAGGAACTGGCGGGAAAGCAGTTCGAAGTAGAAGATATTTCCCGAAAGTGACAAGAAAAAAGGTTGGTAGAGCCCTGTTGTAATCGTCTTTCTTATCCAACTACACTCCGCAGAGTATAAATAACGCCCAAGACGAGTACAAATATCATGCGGTATTTGTACTCCAGAGAACCGGTTTGACAGATTTCTCGCATCGGGCAGGCGACGAGTTGGATTGAAGTTTGAAAAAAATGGCGGACAATTAAAGAGGAAGAAGAAGAACCTTTATTGATTTATACCGCTCAGGGTAGCCCCTTCAGATGCAAAAAGCTGTCTGTTATCAAGGAAGCCCTGAGCACAACAATGTACTAAAACCGCTGTGTCAGCAATCGTGATAAATTCCCGCTTGAAGTCGTGCAAAAGTTTATCAAAGATGACAGGTCTATCGGGACCAGGAGTAGAGTTCCAGTTAACAGCTTTCAGGTCTTTACGAAAGGCGCCAACATTAAAATGCGTATGATTTCTGAAAGTACGCAATAAAGGAGTTCATGGTCACCTAAATGCGTAGAAATTACTCCCGACTCACACATTCTGCGGGCAGTTGACAGCAACTAAGCGAATCTCACTTCGAGTTTTTTAGTAATCCTCGTGGGGTGATCGATTAGCTGCTTGATATTTAGATCCCTGAAAAGCGATTTCAGTTGTTTACACAGGACTCATTTCGGTTACAATTGAAGCCGCCAAAAAGGAGAATCTCTTTAGCCTGCGCTGAAGTAGTGTCAAAGATACCATTTATTTTATTTACAAGATTTGCCGACAGGCAGGGACAACGCAACAGCTTGCGCCAATCACTGGGGGCCCAGTAACCTCTCATCCCACCCAGGGGAGGACATCCATCACACACTAATCTCGTGCGTGGGAAACTAACGTCACCTACCCTTAACCCTGCAGGAGACGAGACCTCCATTTATTCGTCCCTAACCGAGAAGAATAGAATATCTAACCGTTTCTTGATATTATAGAAAGGAAGCATATTCTTCTCAATTATTTTAAGACCTTGAGGGTTGGTCCGGCCGTGGCTCGAACCCTCGACCTCCCGCACAACAGTCCAGTGCTCTATCCATTGAGTTAACCGGGAGGCGGTTAGCCTAACCATAAAGTCCCTATCGTAATACGGCGTGGTAGTATCGGGTCCAACACGAAAGCTGCGGGATTTAGGAACAGCAATTTCCAGCCACATTCCTTCTACGGTATCCAGTTCGAGATNAACCCTGCAGGAGACGAGACCTCCATTTATTCGTCCCTAACCGAGAAGAATAGAATATCTAACCGTTTCTTGATATTATAGAAAGGAAGCATATTCTTCTCAATTATTTTAAGACCTTGAGGGTTGGTCCGGCCGTGGCTCGAACCCTCGACCTCCCGCACAACAGTCCAGTGCTCTATCCATTGAGTTAACCGGGAGGCGGTTAGCCTAACCATAAAGTCCCTATCGTAATACGGCGTGGTAGGATCGGGTCCAACACGAAAGGTGCGCGATTTAGGAACAGCGATTTCCTGCCACATTCCTTCCACGGTATCCAGTTCGAGATCATCCCTCCGCGTAGCCACTAAGGCCTCGTGAACATATACGGCAACTCCACCATGATTGCCATTTCGAAAAAGTCTATAACCCGGTAATTCGTAATTACTGTCACTCCTTTCAGGCTTGATCCAAGTCTCAGACAGAGTTATTATTTGCATGCCTGAATGGAGCTCTTGAAAGAAAAGGCGAAGCTGATCAATTTTATCGCCTAAGCTCTGTACGTTTTGGTGAATAAACTTGAGTCCACGGAGTTTTACAACGTCACTCAGTCCATTAGTAGTCCCAGGGTTGAGACTAACAACTCCAGGCAGAAGAACTAAATAACCTGCACACAAAGATAGTTTGAGGAATTTGGGTCCGGCTCGCGCCTTCCAACATGGCGGAATTCATGGGCTTGTACCGTAGTGACGACTAGAACAGTGGTTTCGATCAGGGACGTTGTGCCGGTCACCATTAGAAGCAACCGAGAAAGCCGCGGCAGGATTAGATACACGATAAACGTGTAATGAAGAAATGATAGTAGAAAGCAGAAACAGAAGAGACAAATATCGAGAGAGCGCAAACGGCCACCGTCCGACCGCCATCGAGTGAAGCATTGCATTGGCACTCTAAGGCAATCCATTTCTTTCTCAGTCTTTCTTCGCCTGGAAACTCTAGGAAGTCGAGGTCCGGCTTTTTTTAGAGTTGCCTTCACACACTGAAATAGCACAAAACTTCACATTCTACCTACGGTCACTCCAATCTGAGTTCAAAATAAGTGCGTATTCCCCTCAGCCTCGACTTGGTGCTCTGAATTAGTTACCAGACTTTCTCGCACAAACAATTCCAAACTAGCGTATTGCGCAACAACTGTTGATCCCTGTCAACTTCACTTCGCTAAGAGGAAATATCGTGTCTACATTAGTAGAACCAGATTCTGTATAAATTGATCTCCTTATTGTACATATTTGTACTTCGAAACAATTTTTCTTTGATCAAGGAGTTTTGTGTTCACCTTTTTTCCTAAAAAATGTACCGATAGGGAGTTATTTTATACCCCTGCTTCCAAATAACCGCTACTACTTCACAACAAACGGAACCTTTCTTCTCTCTCCAAAGGGGACTGTGTAGAGGTTCGACTGTACGTCTGCATGTACTTTAGATACTTTCGTTGACAGTGGTTGATCAGTATATGTGTCAGTTTTGTTTCGTCAGGCTAATGGTTTCTGCGTGAATCTTTTTCAACCCCTACCTACTTGCGTAAGCAGCTCAAATGTCATTCATCTAAAAAATTTATTTAAGAAATCCCTTATCCGAACGACCACTTCATATTTAACTATTTACATTTTCATTCGTTAATATTTCTCGTTGATCTCCCAAGCTGTGGCAATGTAACTATTTACATGGCATTGAAGTTTAAGTCCATCACCAAAGGAAAATATGTGATTGAAAAAGTTCGCTCTGCTGTAAGGGATGGAACGACAGGCGGTTTTACATTTAATGTCTCACCTATAACTGGGACGCGAATTCCTCCCGAAGAGACCACAACAGTGACAACCACGCCTACCAGCTCACCTAAAGGTATCTTGCCAATGTTTTTCATCTATTAATTATAGTTATTTGTGTTGAATAGTTAACTTGCATATACCTCTGCTGAGGTTTAACTTTCATGACTGTAAAACTGAAGGGAACCAATACACAAACGCTAACTGTTTGTTTGTTTGTTTGTGCGAATTAAGAGGAAATATTTGGGACTGTCGAGAGAATTCAGATGAACTTTGATTAATATTCTCATTTGACATCACATTTAACATATTTGTTCGTGGCAGATTGTAAGTATTGACTTTTCTGTGGCTGAAGGCGGCAAAGTGTACCGATTCAAAGGGTACAGTAGCTGATGTTCAGTTTAGTGGATAGTAGTCGCTTCACTATATTCGAAGGTTTTCATGTCAATACGCAACTGTAGACTGTACTACGATATTACATAACTTTCCGATTTGTCCATTTAAATTTGAATATAGAAACGGTCACACAAGCAAAAGGAACCTTCACATGAGAATAAGTACTAACTTTTATCTTGTGGACATTTACGTTAGTGAGTTGCCGTCTTTACTTAATGTTTTACACTTAGTTTGGATTTATGCGGGACACGAGTTTGCACAGAAAGTTTCCTGCTATGATTATTCATATTCAGTCTCTATGTTCTTCTAGCATCGAACTAACATGCGTGATTTATGGTATGTACAAATTTATAAACAATACACAAACCAAAGTTTAAATATGGCAAAGATATTTATTTTACGGTTTGTATCCGTCCTTGGCTGCTTCGAACTGGACGATGTTACAGTTTGGCTTATTTTGTTTCGAAAATAACCGCTAAAATATTAAATCTCAGTTAACATAAGCAGCAGAAACGACAGATGTTGATCAAAGTTACCTTTGTATTCGTTTGGTAACGATATATCGCTCCTAAAGTGGCCTGTTGTCTTTTCCACGTGCGCATTGATGATTTTTTACCTCTGAGTCACTTTTGTTTGGGGTCCTAAAATTTCGTAGTTTGTGTAGCCCAAAAATTTTATTGGAGTTATTTGAAGAAACCTTGTTCTTTCGCTGGATTA